CAGGTGAAACAGGTGGTGAAGATCCTTGTGGGAGTGGGGAGGGAGCCGGTGTGAATGGTGCTGAATGACAAGACCAGCTGGGAGAGTGGTAGGGTCTCCTTGCCCAGCCTACTGTGGCCAATAGTTAACAAACTGGTGCTCTAGCAGATACGTGCCTGAGACTGTTAAAAGAAATCATAACCAGCCCTGGAAGGGGCTGACATAAATGAGATATGAAGCTGAAGAACTAATCATTAGGTGCTTTATTGGGTACTAGCCAAACTCAGCAAGTGAAACAGCTCTGTGCAATCAATGTATTTGCCTTCTTGTGTGTGCACACCCTAGGACAGCACGTTGCTGCTTCCCCCCCATCAGTCTTTAGCAGGGCCTCCCCCCCCCAGATCCAGTCTCTGCAGAGCAGGGCTGTGGTTGTTGCCTCTGTTTTGTTTTTTTCTACTAAAGACAGCAAAGGAAGCAATGAGGAGTCTGCTAACTTCTTCTTTCCCTTCCCACTGAAAGTGCAGGTGGGCTCTGTGGATTTGGATGGAACAGGGAGAGCTTCTGAAGGGTTGTGGGGGGGGGTGGAATAGGGTTGGAAGAAAGACAGGTCCAATTTCTAATCATCATGTAGAGTGACAAGATAAAACCTTATTTGGTGCAATAAACATTCTCCATGACGGCGTACGTGAGCTTTATTATATAGCAGCCTTCCAAAGGTAATTTTCTGCCTCACTTCTCATACAGGTTCCAGCCCTGCTGCCCCTCTTCTCCAGCAAGACTGGGTCTGTGTCATTGTTTTCTATCCGTTTTACATCTGTGCAGTACTAGTATGAAAATTAAGGGCAGGTGTGAAATGCAGGTGTCATCTTAGGAGACAAGAAATCCCCCATCAACCATCAGAGAGCTGCCAGTTGTCATAGCACTCTTGTCACTCAGCAGGAAGAGAATGCTGTTAACCACATCATCCACTTCTGGAATCAAACACAGAGAACATCCGATGCACCCCTCAAATTGTACTAGAAAAACTAGCATCCCAAAAGGTATGCCTTTGACCTCTACAAGTAATTGGAGCAGGGAGGTATCTCTGCCCCCAAACCGTGCTTGATGCAGTGTGTGGCTGAGAGCTGGACAGCAGAAAGTCCTTGTTGTGATCAAATGACATTTAGTTCACAGCAAGCAAATATGTTCCCCTCCCAGTCATGTTTATGAACAATAGAGTAAGTGCATTTCACTTGTCCTAAGATGAGAAGGCCATAGAAGAGGGGAGATAAGGTTGATTCTTGCCCCGTCCTCATCAAATGCTTCAGGAATTCAACCACAGCCATTCAGCAGAGTTGTGACCTTGCCCACAAAAGAAGCAAGGTACCTATGGCTGTGATGTCAATTAGAGGGAAGGCTTGGATACAACCAAAGAGCCCAACCTGGCAACAGATCTACACCACTGACCTGCAAACTTTCCCAGTGGAATCCGATTAATCATGGCAGCAGATTTCTGAGGGTCACTCCAGTTAATTCTCCCCATGTCAGTCATAACCACTGTGGGGTTCACAGTGTTCACCCTAATCTGGGACCAAGAGCAACAAACAATCTAACCAGACTGCTCTGAGAGGAAATGGTCAGGTTCAGCTTTCACACTTTTCTTTCTCTCAGAAAGAATCCTACCTTGTGGGGTCCCAGTTCCATTGCCATTACCTTGCTCAGCATATCCAGAGCACTTTTTGTGGAACCTTCAAGAGAAGGGAAGAACAGGAGGCATTTAAGTGCCTAGCACTTGGTCTGGAACGCACAGAAGTATTTCACTGCCCAGCAGCTTGGTGGCTGTGGGTCTCCAGCTAGTCAAAAATGAGAGGGGCACTGCCAAAGCTACACATACTTACAGTAAACAGCATGATCCCGCAAAGCACGCTGAGATGCCTGGCTAGAGACATTTACAATAGCACCTGGCACCCCCTGTGCAATCATCTGCCGAGCAACAATCTGGGAGGAGGGGGAGGAGAAAAAAAAAAAAAAAAAAAGGAATGCCAGAATCATAACAGGAGAAATCATTATTTCATTCAGTAGGAATCTTGCTGGGCTATTTTGGTAGCCAAAAGAGCAAAAACATCTGGAGGAAGTAAGTCCTCACTGCCTCCCACTTACAAGAGAGGGAGTCAAAGTAAAGGAGCAAAGGGGCTGTACGCACAAATTGTCAGGTTTACTTTGGATTACAGTCCCTTTAGCTCCACAGTGGACACTTATCTTCACTGTGTAGAACAATTTAGTCACTGCTGTTCATGGAGACAACTGCAGTGACAATTCTTCCTCACCTGGGAAACATGAAGCACAGCCCGAAGATTCACATCAAGAGACCTACAAATAAATCAAATTTAAAAGTTACAGAGTGGCTGCAGCCCAAGCCAGAGAGTTGTTTTGGGAGGCAGCAGAGGACAAGTGCTGCTGGTATCTTCAAAACACTGGTGATACTCTAGAATATGGACAGAAATGCCAAGCTGACTGGCTAGCAAGAACGATTAGGCATGCTTTCAGCAATAAACTGTTCATTGGATGTAAGCTATTTAGTGTACAGGGGGGGAGGTGCACTCGTGCATCATCACATTTCTAGCAGAACTCTGTTCTTTAGCAGACTAATGTAGTTCCTCTATTAAAGTTTAAACAGTGAGCCCTGGGCCTCAGCCAGCGACTCTTCTTAGGTCAATCGAAGCCTTCACACAGCTTTAAAACAGCAAATCTGCCATAAGATGGGTGGAAGCAGCTTTTCTTCCATTTGCAGCATAGTCCTTCCTTGGTCAGGTTTTTACCTGCTAGTTCTGCAGAATGGTCTTAGTAGAATCCATACATTTTATATTTTAGTCACAAATGAATCCTCCATTGTAGACCCACAATCGCCATTCTTAACGTAGGAACAAAGCAGGACCCATCTTCTCAGAAGGAAGGAGACTCACCATATCCTGTATGCTAAAGCTTACCTCCCAACTGAACTATGGATCTTTTGAGAGAAAAAGATGTCATGTTATTGCAGTAAGCAAATCTGGTTTCCCACCGTGACAGTTATACTCCCTTACCTGGCTTTGTCTTCTCTATATCTGAGTTGTCTTACCGACAGCTGCCTTTCAATTTAGCAGAGACTGAGTCGGAGCTAGACTGGAAGCTGTGAGCTTGATTAACAGCAAAAGGCACTCTTCTCTCCTGTGTAGGCTGGATGGCGTGTGCACACCACCATCTGAGAGATGAAACTGCAGGTTCTGGCTACTTGGTAATTGTGGAATGGCATCAGTGCTTTACTTGGTTGCCTTTTGATGTTTACAGGGTTGAAAGGTGATTACATAAGTATGAGAACACAGTAAAAAAGAGGAAGCAGGTGTAAGCAGTAACAATCGACACACCATTGAGAAAGCGAACGCTCGGCATTTCTAAAAGCACGCCTGTCTGTCTGCCCGGTGCCCGTGCACCAGCGGCTTCCTTTCGTAAGCCAGGCCGTTCTGTAAAGCTTTGCCGCGATTTTTGACCTTAGCAGCTCTGCTAAGGCTTAGTTAGCGGGCAGCGCTTTTCTGCCACGGGCCCCGAGCACGGCCGCGGGCAGGCGGAGGGCAGCGTGGCAGGCTGAGGCCGAGGCACTCACCGCTCCAGGGCCGCCCGCGTTACCTCCAGGAAGGGCTGCAGCACCGCCACGGCCGCGTTGTTCACCAGCAGCTCGAAGGGCCCCGCCGCCCCCACCGCCGCCTCCGTGGCGTCCCAGTCGGCCAGGTCCAGGCACAGGGGCTCGATGCCAGGGCACTGCGGTGAGGGCGCGGCCTCCGTGGGTCGGG